CGTTCGTTAGGGTGGGCTGGTGAATGGAGAGGCAGACAAGGTTTAATGGTTGCAAAAACTTTTACTTACGCCGCTTGTAGTTGCGACGCAGATGGTCCGGTCGTCTGAACAACTATGTGAGTTGTTCCAGCTGGCGAGGCCCAAGCCAGTTAATCCGTCCGCAAATCAAGCCGGCGGGAAAAGGGTACGTCTGGGATTGCGCTCGGCGACGGGGAGAAGAATCGATAGGTGATCAGTCTATCGATCAGCTCAGCCACAAGTCAGATCTCTTTCAGAAGCACTCTGTAGCGTGCTCAAAGTTCTCCAACTTGGGCGGAAGTCGCACGAAATTTTAAACGGCTAGCAAGCCAATTACTAGCCGCCACGTGGGAATAATTTAGAACTGGCCAATAGCGGGACACAAATTTGCATTCAAATAGCAGGAACTCTTTGCACCGTGCATTTCTGTGCTGCAAAGAAGAAATGCACCCTGCAAACTGGCGGGAAGTCTCTTGCACCGACGTTCTTCTGCTGCAACAGAAAACCTTACTTTGCAAGAGGCTCTCATGTGGCAAGAAAATTCCATCGTGCCGAGGCACCAAAATCACTGGGTTGTGACACCACTAAGACAGATGAAGTAGTGAGTACAGAGCACACAGAATACAGTTATGGACAGGAGCATATTTTGAGAGGAATTCTGCTTTTATTAACCCCAAAGTTTTTCCAGGAAATAAATGACAAATTTATCTTCTCAAAGTTATGCTGTATGATTCTTGTTGGCATGTCTATAGCCATATACATATCAACTAAGTCAAATGAAACAATAGTAAAAATAAGACTATGAAATACAGAAATATATGTAAAGAAACAAAACAAAACTGAAATGTACCTGGTCTTTCAACCTACAGAGTAGGTTGTCATCTCCAGTGCTCTCTGATGGTAAGTGTCTTGTCACTGAAGCCTGCCAGAAGATGCTGCACACATATCATGACATTACATTCATGGCTTGGCTTACCCTCTTTACCCAAGTCATTTTAGTTATGGACCTGATCAAGTTTCCATGGATAGAAGCAAATTCAGTCCTGGTAATACTAAAGAAAGGTGAATTTTTATACTTAGGTTTGCAGCTTACAGTCCAGAAATAAAAGAGAAGTAATAAATAAAACAAGAAATAAAACACTGAATAAAATGGCACTTAGTATGACCATTGTTCTAACAGAAAGAGACAACAAGAATAATTCACAACATTATTCTGGTTATTCTGTCAGCATTATTTATTTGAAATATCAATACTTTCCATGATATAGTTTATACATTAAGCAGTAGGGGATTGCCTTTATTTCACATGTTCCAGTACTGAAGTGGCACATCTGAAGCAGCACATTAAACCTCTGAAAGAGTCTGTACAGTTTAGATAAATAGAACTCTGGAAAACTAAACTAATAGAACTCTTACAACTGTTACAAAAAGAATGTTGGGAAGCTGGGCACAGCACTGTACACACAAGTTGCAGAAACGGGGGAAGAAAGAAAGAAAGAAAGAAAACGTATGGGAATAGTTTTTGTAGACACAGCCACAAGTCTTTAATTGCTCAGCACAAAGAAAAATCATTTTTATTTAGTCCTCATTGAGGGCAGAATATGCACAAATGATGTTCAAAGAACACAAACTTAAGACAAAAATAAAAGGACTTTTCTGTTATTTTAAAAAAAAATTTTGGATGAGTCTACTAAGGGCTCCTGGTGCTTTAATGGTGCTTTTTTATGCCAAAAACTTTACATAGAGGAGATAACACTTATATGAATTTTATTCCCCATCCTGCCCTTCCTGCTGGCATTGCATTTATCATTTTCAACATTTATAAAGAGCAGACACATTTGGCTTGTAACTCAACTTTGTATTACTGACCTTTTTACTATGGTTCATATTTTACCTGCAGATGGAATAGGCCTTCAGTTAACAATCCAGAATATAAAACTAGCTGCAGGTCAGCAGCACATACAGTAAAATGGTAGTTCACTTTCAGGGAAACAAAAGGGTCTACATCATACTGCCTCTCTGAGAACAGTAATGGATTCTGAGTCACTGATCAGAAGACACAATGCTGGTTAGGCAATATTAGACCTGTGTGAACCACATCCTTGGGAAGGGAAAGATGGAATGGCAAGAACTTTTAACTCTTTTTTATAAAGAACTAAGAATTAAAAGTAGTACAGTGGTGATGGGCATTATCTTCCCCATACTCCAACTGCTTTCCATTACTTCACTCCACGTCATCACTCTTGCTTGCTATTTGTTTCCCAACACCATATGAACAACGGCCTGGTCACCATCACAGGCTGACATAGCATAGCCTGTGAACCTGCATGCTACATTGTGCTGGGTCAGAAGATACCACACATCACCGCTACAGAGCATAACAACATGTAAATCAAAGATGCTCAGTGGGACTGGATGACTCTAACCACTGCAGCTTGCACTTGTGAGCTGTAGTAAGCAGCATTTTGAAAGCAGTGGTATCAACATAACTATGTGGGTCAAGAGATGGTGAAACAGCCATCCTAATGGGGCAAAGAAACTAGAATATCCACATAATTGATGGGGAAGAAGCCTGACTGGCCATGAAGCATCCCTTCATACCAGTTCTCATCAATCTGGTTAGTGAGGGTAATGATATCTCCTTCTTTAAAGCCCAACTCCCCTTCATTTTCTGGTTCAAAGTCATACAGAGCTCGGCAGCATGGCTGGTCCATGTGAACACCTAAGAAGGGGGAACACAGAGAAAAAGAGCACTTAGAAATCTAGTAGTTTCATTCTCCTCATACTTGTTGTTACTTGCACATTTGGCCACTTTTTGCAGTGCCTTTGGCACTAACCAGTTGCCTTGGAAGCAGACATCATGACACTTTTAAATTCCCATATGGAAAGCTTTCTTAAGGCATCCAAGCATCCTGAAAAAGACTAGCTAAGGCAAGTCCACACTTTAGTGTTGCCAAAGTAGCTATGTCAGTTTGGTCTGTGAGTATTTTTGTTCCATGAAGCAATAGTAATTGGTGTAAGCTGTACCAGCATTGTTTTGCCATTAGAACTGTATCTGTGTTAGGAAGGTTTGCTGGTATGGCAAAAGTCCTCCTCTCCTTTTAATGTTATTGTGTTTCTGAACAGCCTCCCTGAAACCCTGGGTGACTGCATAAACTTTGAATCAACAGGCAAGGTCTGCCTTAAGACATTGGTTTCTAAGGTACTGAGGGTAGACCCTCTTCACTTTTAGGTCATTCAATCAAATTTGACCCAGAACAGATCCAGCATCAGTATCCAGCATCACTGCCTTCTAACAGCTGTTCAGTGGTCTATGTGAAATGAGGAAGTAATCTCCAAAGAGGGGGAAAAGGAAAAAGAAAGAAAGAAATGCAGGTGCCTCACAGGATAAAATCCACAACAGCAATCAACATATTTGGTATATAGGCATGAAAATGGGATTTCATCTTTAGCTGTAACCACATTTCCCCCAGGGCAAGTTCATGCATGTTGGTAGGATTAAATGAGCAAAGACCTACCTCAAGCTGGGATTTTTTGGGACAATAAAGATATTCAGTTTCTACAGAAATCAGTACAGCCCCTTTTTTACACACTATAATTTATGTAAAATTAAAGGTGTTTGGGGTAAATCATGTGCCATTCTGCTTGCTTTTAGACAAGGGATTTGGGAAAGGTAAAGATACAGGAGATGGTCTGTCCTTCAGTGGAAATGACCTTGCCTCATGCTAGCATTACTAAGTTTGAAGACTCAGTTCAGCCTCTCCCTTACCACTAGCCAAAGCTCTGAGGAACAGTAAATATTCTACAGTAAATACAGTAGAATGAAAGAGTTGAGCCCTGAAAGCCAAGAACCAACTCAACACTTCACTTCATTCCAGGACTTTCAAACTAGACAGCAACTCTCAGGGCTGTGTAAAAATTCACCAGCTGTTTCGTTTTGACGCTGTTTTGACTTGTTTTGAGCTCGAAACAGTGAAATTGAAGCAAAACAAAGCACTTCGAAACAGCCTCGAAACAAAACAAGGGCTGTCGAAACGTTTCAAAAGTTTTGAAACATTTTGAGTTTCAAAGCTGAAGATGGGCTTGCCTGCAGGGACTTGCCTGCAGGGAAACAGAAAGTAAGGGTTGGGGAAGGGGTGGGGAAGGACTGCTGTCATATTGACTATGTAGCTGGCCAGTGACTGTGATCCTTCCATACACTATAGAATTTATATATGAAGAAAGATATATTTACATCTGTTTTTATACATTTATACCTTACAGCACACATACATTATCGAATTTATATAGGAAGAAAGATATATTTGTATATTTTTGTAAAAGCAAGACATTATGAAACACAACATGAAGTGTGGTGAAAAGGCAGATAACAAGCCTTCAGGGAGGGGCAGAAGAGCGGGTAGAGGGAGAGGTGTAAGTAACCCCCACCCCAAACTGAAATGCAGCCTCTTTCCTCCAACTAGCAGGGATCAGCTTCCACAAGCAGCAAGGAGAGGGGAGCAGTGCCAGTGCCACTGCCTGTGCCTGAGTCTGTATCCCCTCCAAGAGCCATAACCCCCAGCACCACCACCATGACAACAACAAGCAGCAGCACCAGCATGAGCATGAAAGTCTCCTCCACCCCCATTTTGCTTCCCATGCTGAGCCTTCCAGTGCCAGAGGAAGAACTAGATCTGGATCTCAGTGCCCTGGCAAGGGAAATTCCAGGGAAGGAGATAGAATCAGCTGAGTTTGTTCTCCACATCCCTCAAGTTTTCCTTTGAGTTAGGTTTCCTTCCCCAGAAGGCTGACATAGAGGTTGTAGAGGCAAGCAGCTCAGCTGAGTCCACTCCTCCTGTTGCTGTGCCTCTGCCTGTTGAGGAGGGGGAAAATGCAGCAGTATCCACACACGTACCCACACCACAGAAGCGAGCAGGGAGTGCAGTCTAGGATCACTTTGAGCTAGCAGATGATCCCATTATCTGCCTGCACTGCTGAACTAAAACCAGTGGGGGCAAGGGAACAAAACACTTGAGCACCATGAGGATGCTGATGCATCTCCACAGGCACCGCCCCCTTGCCCTTGCTCCTCTTCAGCCTGGCACCAGTGGGAGTGTGCCCAAAGGGAAGTCCCCATTTCACTCCAAAGCCTCTGTCCCCTGAAAGCAGAGGCAGGCCACCCAGGAACAGTGGGGGAAAGGCGGGCAGAAAGCAGGGCATGTTGCAAGAGCAAGTGTGATCAGCCAGAGCATTGGGGAGATGCTCGCTGTGGATGGCTAGCCCTTCTCCTTAGTTGAGCAGCCAGGGTTCAGGCAGCTCATGGCGCTTGTGGCCCCATCCTAGCAAGTGCCCACAAGCACCACCATCAGCAGGACAGTGATGCCCTCTCTGTAGGTATGCAGGGAGTACTTGAGGGAGGAGCTGCACAAGGCAGGTCCCTCGGACATCTAGAGCAGCCAGGGTGGAGATCATGCCTACCTCTCCTTCGCAGGGCACTAGTGTGACCAGTCAGGCCATCGGTGGGCTCTCCTTCAAGCTGAAGTGACGGATGAGTCCCATGCAGCAACTGAGATCATGGGGGCCATGAACCACTTGGTGCAGGGGTGGCTCATTGGGCACAGCAAGTTCACCCGTGGGTTCATGGTCACCAACAATGGGGCCAATATGGTCAAGGCAGTCCATGATGCCAACTTTGTTGGCCACTGTGCGGCACACAAGTTCCACCTCATTGTCAGGGACACTTTGGAGAGGGACAGGGCTGCAGGTGACAGCACCAGCACCACCAGCAAGCTTATTTCCAAAAAAAGGAGGAATCAGCTGAGTTTGTGCTCCACACCCCCATGCAGGAAGGTAGCAGGCCACTTCCATCGGAGCATCAAGGGGGGCAAAATGCTGCAGGACAGGACAAACAAGCAGAGCTGAACATCCCGCAGCACAAAATCATTCAGGATGTGGAGACTCAGTGGAACTCCACATACCTAATGCTCAAGAGGCTGATGGAGCAACAGAAGGCCATCCATGAGATGGCCTTGCTCAGGGAGATTGGGATCAGTGGCCCCCTTAACAGAGCTGAGTGGGATACCATCTCCCAGACCTTGCTGGTCCTCAAGCCCTTCCTCGAGGCCACCAAGACCCTCAGTGCTGGTGATACCCTCCTTAGCCAGGTGATCCCTGTAGTGAGGGAACTTCAGAGCCAAATGAAGAGCTTCCAGGGGATCAAGGTTCCTGGCTCGGGCAAGCCACTGTCACCAGACGTGCAGGCACTGGTGAAGCAGCTGAAGGAGGGCATCAGGTAAAGGCTTGATCCCTTGCAGTCCAATAGGGTCCATGTGCTGGCCACCATGTGTGACCTGAGGGGGAAGGGCAGCGTATAAAGCAGCCAAACCCTGAACCAGTGGATGGAGATGCTGGTGAAGAGAGTCAGGGAGGCAGATGGTTGGAGGTGGGAGGATGTGGAAGAGGGGGATCCATTGTCCCATGCTAGCACGCCATCCACCAGCCAGTCTCCTCCTCCACCATAGGTGCTGCCAATGTGGGCCAAGGGCATGGCTTCCATGGTAGGGTCCAGAGGCACCAGACCCCACCATCAAGAAGGTAGCACTCAGGCCTTGGTGGCTACCTATCTTGCCAAGGACATGGAGCTGCTACTGTGTGACCCCTTGGCCTACTGGGCAAGCCACAGCCAGATGTGGCCGGATCTGGCCACGGTTGCCCGCAGACCCCTGTCCTGTCCACCGACCAGTGTTCCAAGCAAGAGAGTGTTCAGCATTGCTGTGGATGTAGTGACACCCCACTGCACCTTCTTGGACTCTGGTTTGGTGGAGCAGCTGGTGTTCCTCAAAGTGAACCTCCCACTGCTGGGATTTCCCAAGCTCCAGGTGCAGATGGAGTGAATGCCACCATCCTCACTCCATCTGTACCTGTTACCTTTTTTCATTTTTAAAAATCCAGTTAATGCCCCAGTCTCAGAGCTGGAGATGGCACTCACTGTATCACCAACCAGCAGGGGAAAAACATGTCTCTGCTGAGTTCCCATGCCAGGGTGAACTTGGGGGTATGGGCTGAGGCTATGGAAAGGAGGAGGCCCCAGGTCCTTGGTATGACCACTAAAACTGCACTCTGCCAGGATCAGGGAGGCCTGGTGGGACTGCTGGCAGTGTGGCGGCCCCCGGAAATGCCAGGACTGAGGATCCCCCTGGTGAAAGGCGGGTAGGAGGCACCATAACCTTCAACTACCACACACACGCACACAATCCTGGCTGGAGAAAGTCACATCTTTGACAGACCTGAGGTTTGCTGGTTGCAGTAGAGTTGTGAGGGTCCAGGTGAGCTCAGCTTAGCTGCCTGGGATGCCAGCTTTTGGGTTGAAAAACCCTTTGTCAGGCTGAGGAAGCACCTGCAGTTGGTGTGTGCTGTTCCTGGATGGAAGGAATAGTAAAGAAGCCAGAGGCTGTCCAGCCAGTCAGTGAAAATGGAAATGGAGGCATGAGGGGGTGAGGGACAGGCTGGGGTTGGGGGTGGGGGAAGGAGGATGTAGCAGTGCACGTAGAAGTGGAGAGGTACCTGGGGAGTCAGATGTCCGGCAGGTTGTAGTGCGTCAGAATTCCACTGTCTATACTGAGTCCATGAGTTTCTGTATCTAGGAGTCTGATGCAGTGAAGTTCACAGGCCTGGCTATGAAAAGTGGTTTGTAAATTCCCTTTCAGGATCAGGCCTAAGAGACTGGAGACAGAGAGGTTTTTTTTGTGAGGAATGTGCCCCCACAGGTAGTTGGGTATTGTTGTCTTTGACAGATTCTGGTGTGCAGTTTGTGGGGGTACTGGAGCTTGTTGGCAGGTTTTGTGTTTCAGGCTGTAGGAAGTTGATTTCAGTTATGGTGATGAGGTTAGATTAGCAAGGCTCAGTGTTTGTTTGAAGTTACAAACCACTTTTCAGAGCTGGGCCTATGAACTTCACTTCATCAGCCTCTTAGGTACAGAAACTCATGGATCACTACTGTTGTATAAGTCCTTTTTTATCAGTATAAAAAGCAGTGCAGCAAAAACCACTTATGTTGTGACTGGGAGAACATTTACGTGCAGGTCACATGCTGCACTCATGCTCTTGAAATTTGCATCTTCTCTCCTCCAGCACTGCGGGTATGTGGAGGAGGTTTTGAGATTACAAGGATAGGCAAATCAGTTTCCATCTACAGATACAGAACACAAAATAGAGGTCTTATTGCAACCTACTGCCTGAAGGCTGTCAAGCATGCACATAGTGTGTGATGTGGAAGAGGGAAATGCTGACTAGAGCTTTAGGGGACAGAGCACCCTCCCTTACAAGGTAGTATGTGCTTTAAATCCCCGCTGATGCCAAGAAGAGCAGACTGTAAGTCCTAGTAGGGCTGGACCCTGAGAGGACACTGCCCTTATCCTAACTGCTGTGATGACAAAGCAATGCTGTGCAGATCAAAGCAACAGCAGGATCCTGGTTTGTGTGGACTTTTAAAAAACAAATGTCCTTACTTAAACTACTAAGGACACATTTATCACTGTTTACCATAATGCTTCCTCTGCCTGAGGATGGGTATTTGTACCTGAAAGCTTGCAAAGAAGAATTTTTCCAACTATTTGAGTTGGTCTAATAAAAGATATCGTATGTACCTAAAGAACCTTGTCTGCCTTTATCACTGTTTATGCATTGTGTTTCCTTTGCATCTCTCTCACTTGGGCAACGAGAATCCATTTGGTTATTATCGTTTGGTCATTATCATACCATTTCTCAGTGCTATTATATCTGTATTTCATAGTCTGGGGAAGAGTGTTTTTATGCTCCCCCTCCCCCCTCCCAACCCCTTTCCCCTGCATTTTTCTATTCTGGAGCAGGAGAAAGAGTTCTGAATTTCCAGGAAACGTTTCAGTTGGCCTTTAGGCTTATTAAATCCCTGTTTTAACAGAATTTAAATTTCAGGGAAAATATTTCATGACAGGATCTGTTTAGGCTGCTCTGAACAAGGGAATCACTGACCATTGGGCCACAATTCTAGTAAAATAGAACACTCCTTTACTTCCTTATTTAGGTTCTTAAACTGTACCTGCCACCACGGTACTTGAGCCCTGTGCATTACACTCACTATGTATTAAATGCACTTAAAAGATGAGAAACAGTATATTCAAGTAGTAAAACACATGCTTAGTGCACTCGTATTGTAGTAAAGTTATGCCTTTTCACACAAGGAGCATCTCCAGAATACGTTAAATAGAACATAACATACCATTTACATATAAGATAACATAAATTCAGTTATTGTTGGATTGTTCCATAGACATAATATGAGCAATTTGCCATCTTCTAGCACCCAGGGTGTACCAATCTAATCCCTCTCCTCCTGCTCCTGCTCCATGGAACGCTCTATTCATTCACCAGAACAGTACTGTTCAGGTGCAATGGTACCAGTTGCCATGAGGGTGGTACCAGTTTTAAGGTGACACCCCCCCTGCCCTCAGGTGGTGTGATCCTGACCTCTATGGCACCACCTGGACCACCCATTGATACCCTCTAGGTTTGATAAGTCTCTTCATTTTTCCTTGAGCATTCGAGTACAAACAGTGATCTCCTAGATTCATGAACCAAACAGGACCAGAAAATGCCCTTCTCACACCCCAGTGGGTAAACCTTTAACTGGATTCGTGGCACGGGTCCCCTACCACAAGAAGCTATTCAGCAGCCTTGAGGAGGACTATGCCATCACTCTCTACCACACTGTGCACTGCACACTTGCAGACCCAGTGCAGCGCAATGATGTCCATGATAAAGACAATGATGGAGTTTCCTCAATACCTCCTGCTACCAAAATGAACATGGAAGAGTACAATGATGCCTGCTTGGTGGACTTATTCCCCACCCAGATACAGACTCTACCTGGGACACAGAAGATGGGGACAGCGTGGACAAGATTCTCATCAAGGAGGTGGAAATGGACAATGCCACACCAGCCACTAGTAAGTTTCAGCAACTCCAAGGGAAAGGGTGATTGGTGGCATGTTCAGGGGCATGGGACTATGTGGGTAGCTCATAGCTTGGGGTGACTCAGGTCTCTGGGTGTGGCAAATGGCTCAGGGTGGGGGTGGCAATGGGTGCAGATTGCTCCCTACCCATGCAGTTTACCAGACGGATAGGGATCCTGTTCCACACAACATAGAAATGGTGAGAAATGGTGGCATACCTGTGCTTCAGCCATGGCAATTGTGCATAAGTCAATGGTCTGGTTACAGACTGACAATCCAATTAAGATGCTCAATGGCCTAGGTTAATTAATGAGTGAACAGTGTGACTGGAAAGCTGATCCCACCCATGCCACCCCGTGACTGCCTTGCATAGCAAGGACAGCTCTGAGTCCCCTTCTAGATGGCCCTGCCTAGCAATGCCTAGCTCTCAGACCACCCCTCCCCTTCCCTCTGTGAACATACCATGCAAATTAGGGTTGTTTGTTTTGTTGTTTTTTTTTTGGGGGGGGGGGAGGGGAGGCACTTCTCCATATCAGTTACTGCTGGTTGAATTCCATGCACCAATACCTGGGGGTGCGCTCAGCAGAGCTCCTGCCTGCACTTGTGGATTCCAACCCCCAGGACAGCTTTTGAGGACAATAACATACAAAAACACACAATCCAAGGGTTTTTTTAGATGCATCTGAGCAGGAGCAGAAGGATGGCGGAGGGGGGGAAGTCCTGAGAGAAGGGGAAGTGTAGACTAAAATGTAGCAATGTTGCCACCCTCTACCCCTACCATTTGGTATGCCTACTGGCAGTCCCATACACTCCTCTGTATGTACCAGGCAAAGATGGGTCTGGAACCAGAGAACACTGTCATCTTTCAGCTCCTGGAATGGCAGTCACTTCTGTCTCCACAGGAATATGGGCACAGCTGAGTGGCAGTCAGGGGAGATATTACAGGGGAAGGGCAATCCTAGTTCAGAGCGTAAACAACTACTGCTTTGACTGCTGTGAGATCTGGCAATGAAGCTGTAACACAAGTGTAGGAAGGTTTCCAGAGCCTCCCACATGTTCCATGGAATTATCAGTCTCAGCAGAGACCCATCATAACAAGCAATTCTCTTTCCTGACTCCAGGTCATGTGCTGGCACAAGATCTCACATAAGCAGAAGGGTATATCTTAAGTGATTGCCACCTGCGAGCCCAAAGAACTCCACTTGCAACTGATGGGACACTTGCCAGGGAGATACTTGCCAGAGAAGCAGTATCCCGACATAGGGATAGACAAGTTATTGGGAAGAGACTTCATAGCAGGTGATCCCTGCCCACCTGTAAGAACCTCCAGGGAGGGAAGATGCAGGGCAGCAGGTAGCTGAGAGTCAGTAGCTGGGAGGGCACTTAGCATGATGAGGTCCACTGTCATCTCACTGCCTCATGAAAATGACTGTGCAGAGCAAAAAAAGGCATGTTTTTCTTCTTACTATCTTAGAACTTTGCAACAACTTCAAGGTCTGTTCTACCGTTGATGCACTGCTGTTGGCACAGCTATCAGTGTTCAAATGGAAATTCAGAGTTCACACACAGATATCTGTCGACTTTGGAAACAATCTCCAGGCCATTTTTTTATCTTTTTAATCTTCAGATTTCACCCCAGTGCAAGAGAGCTCAAGAGACTCCAGCACTGATGCTGCCCCAAGGCCACAAAGAGACACTTCCACTCCAGTAACTGAAAATGTGACCACCAAGATCAAATGCTGGAGGAGTCTTCTTCATACCAAATCACTGCTTGCTGCCAATGTGTGCTGGCAGGACTGGTCAGAGGAGCTGCTGAGAACACTCTTCAGCAGACTTCTGTGACACAGGACTTCCACTTCCTGTTACATGGACTGTCAAGGGTCCAGGCATCAGCCCTCCAGCCCCCGTGTCCCTCCAATCCACCATGGAGTCATGCAGGTCCTTCCTGGACAGGGTGGTTATGATTGCAGAGGAGTATGTATGCAACATTACAGAGAGGCAACAGGCATCTCAGACTACCTCACTCAGCCAGAGGCAATGGTACCAGCCTCACACCAGCACAGGCTACCATGGAGACTGGCTGGTTCCTCATGCCCTTCCTCACCTTTCCCTGGCCAGTAAATGCTGCCAGATGATCAGTGTGAATGTCGGGAGGCTGGCCAGGTGTTCCATGCACATAGCTGTCCAGAAACCAGTTGCCCTTGGTAGCCAGAGCCTTGCACCCCCCCAGCGTGGCTGGATGCCAAGCAGGGAGTGGAGATCTGAGTGGCAGGTCTGCTAAATGCCCTGGTAGGGGTGGTCCTTCCCTTCCCTGGAGCAATAAGAGAGGCTATCACTCTCCCAGGTGCCTTCCCCCAGCAGAAAGGAGGCAGTGCCACAAAAAGGTACCTGAGCTTTGATGATGAGATGGGGAGATGGTCCCTGGTGCTATCTGCCTCCAGCCAGTTGAGCAAGGTGGAACTGGGCCTGTCCATGGAAATGTGTCTATCAAGCTCCTTGGGGCCATCTGGCTCAGCCTGGAGGGCATGCCTCCATGCCACAGCACTCCCAGACACCAAGGAGACCAATAGACAAGGGACCCAAAACTACCTGACAGCATATTTAACGCAATTGCACATTTAATGCAGTTTGCACAGTGTTGAGTTTTAAACTCAGCAAATCTGCTTGTGAAAAGGCCTTTATTTTCAAATGTTTATCTCATATTTTATTTTAAGAAATAAAGCTTGTACAATTATGAAATTTATTCCTCTGCACTTCTTGTCCAGTTCTTAACTTGAGTTGTTCATAACTCAGACCCACCCAACAACCCATATGTCAGTTTCCCCCTCCCAACCAGCCCTCATGAATTCTCACTGCAGAATCCCATACTCTAGTTTTTCACCCCAAGGCCCCCCACCCCAGTCCCAAACAAAAGGGGGTGTCAAGCCCAACAGTTAGTATGAAAGATGTTTACTGAGATGTTCCGGAGAAGCAGACCACTAAAAAGGTGCAGTGCAAATTAAGGGGTCACTAACACTTAAAGGTCTTCTGCACACACTCCTGCCTGACAAAATCTTGTCCCATAAAGTAGTCAAGCCAAGGCTTCCCTCATCAGAACTGGTTTGTCAATGGTTCTCCCTAGGATGCTTGACTGGTAGTGCCACTTCAGCCCATGCACCATCCAAAGTGCCAGGGGCTTCCCCAACCATGGGTCCATATAGAGCCATTCTGGTTTCCTGGAAGGCTTCACCCTTTGCCTCAAATATTTTGTGGAAGATGTAGATAGTGGACTTGAAACTGGGAATGTTCAAACAGCTCAAGTTCAAGACGAATACCTAGGGACCTCCAGGATGCTGTTAGGTGCCCAAAGGTACACTCCACCACCGTCCAGCAGCTGTTCAGCTGGTAACTGAAGAACCTCTTCCTGGGGTCCAGTCACCTGATGTATAACTTTCAATGGCCAGGGGAGCAGTGGCTAGGCCACATCCCAGATAATCAAGAGAGGGAACAGTTCATGGTGCTCTCACCAAATACATTATGGGAGTGCCAGGGAAGAACTCCCACATCATCCTCCCTGCCCCTTCCCCCTCACACACTCCATCATCTGTGGGAAAGTAGAGTTCCTGAATCATATACCCAACACAAACACCTAACATGGATGTAGGTGAAGCACTTCCAGTGGTTCAAAACTGCCTGGAGTATAACAGTAAAGAACCTTTTAAGGTTTATGTAATCTGAGGTGCAGTATGAGGAGCAAAGAATGGGTATACTGCTTCCCACTGATGGTTGCCATGCAGTTCTGGAAGCCCATCTGTTCAGACTTGGTGATGACCACCTACAGGTCCCCAAGGTGGATGAATCAGGGCCCCAGCTCCTAAAGTATGGCATTGCACACCTCATGCAGAGGTGTCATTGCTATTTTCTCCCCCGCACTGAACTTGTTGGTTATGTAACGAATGCTATTGGTGTATACCAGGGGTGGGCAAATATCCCAGGTGGAGAGCCGCTTACCAAGTTTTGGCAATCTGTCGAGGGCTGCAAGGGTACCCCCACCCTTGATAGGTGCCCCGCCCCCTGGTTGCCATCTTGGGACCAAAAGTCCTGCTGCCTAACCCCTGACCTTTGCCACCAGAAGTCCCTCCCCTTGCTGCCCCCCACCCCCTGCCCCCTCCAAAAGCAAGGGTGAGGGGGGGCAGAAAGGAAAGGCAGGCAGAGGCTCTATGGAACCAGACTGATCTGCGCCAGCAGGCAGAGGGGGGAGCACCTGCTGGCCTGAGCCCCATGCTCCAGCCACCCCACTCTGGGCCCCTGCCATCATTGGCTCCAATGCAACAGCATGGGTCCTGTGCTCCCATCCAGCTGTTGCTGCACTCCCATGTGCCCACTGCTACTCCCCCACCACCTGCCACTGCCATTTCCCTGCTTTCCTGCCTGCTGCACCCACATCTTTCCACCCCCCACCCACCACTCTGGTACCATGTGGTTCCTGGCTGCAGAGCCAGGACCTCAGGAGCTAGCCTGACCTGGCCCCAAGGACTGGGGTGATCACCCACAGTCTTGCTCTGCCTTCCCCACTACCCCGCATTCTTATCTGAATTTCCTTCTCTGGTGGAGGGAGGCAGGAACAGCCCCAGGGTCCCAGGCCAGAAGCCTCTGCTAAGCAGAGGCTTCTGGATGGGGGAGGCGGGGGATGGGGACTGGGTGGGGCCAAGCAGGCCTTGCTGCTGCAGCTGGTGGGACCTGCCAGCAGCTCCCCCTGGGTCCTACTGCCCCTCGTGCTTTGTCATCCCCCTGGGTCCTACTGTCCATGGTGCTTTGTCATCTATAACAGGCAGCCAGGGGCAGATAAATATTAATTTTCTAAATTGTTTAGGGGTCCTGCAGGCCTGATAGGATCCTGGTAGGCCAGATCTGGCCTGCATGCCATATTTTGCCTGCCCCTGGTGTATACCAACTTCCAAATCACCAGGGTCATGTGTCTCTCAAAAGACATGGGGCACTGAAGCCCAATGTCATTAAGCTAAGCAGGGGGAAAAAGCTTGGTGCAAACATCCATGAATGTGTCATGGGACATCCTAAAGTTCTTCTGCCACTTCTCAAATGATGACGAGCTGCTCCCACCAGTAGTGCCCAGCAGCATTTGTGCAGTGTTGGTGTTGTGCCTCCTGTAAGTGGGTCAGTATCATGGTCCTCAAAGTAGTGCCTCATCAGGGCTAGGAGGTGATATCACTGAAGCAGAGTGCCTGTTTATTATAGTGGCCAGAGCAAGGATTTGCTTGGTTTCCCCACCCGCCATCTCCAGGGAGCCCCTGGAGATCTGATACCAGCTGGGACTGTCAGTCAAGGAAGGATTGGAGAGGCCATGCCTGGCCAAGGAAGGATTGGCATTCACACCCTCAGTGAGACAGTCAGACAACCAACACTTTCCTCAGCTCATCTGTTTTTAGCCACTGTCAGAAATAGGAGGAAAAGGCACACCAGCAAAGCATGCCAGGACATTTGCTTACTGGTCCTCTAGTGGCAAAGTACAAGATGTGTATATTAGAGATGGTTGTAAACATTATAATGTGACTGCTCAGAACATGTTCTAACTTTAAGACCACGTAACATTGCATAGGTTCAAGATGTACCATATGTCCTGTGTGACTAGACCCAAAGAAATCAGTGTTTATGGCACTCAGAATAAAAGGTTCATACAGAAAATGACCTTTCTTTTTTCTTTTACCTGGTGGTTTTGGTGTGCCAGCATGAGAGATCCCTCCATTGTGCTGGGTATTATCTCCACTTGAAAAGTCCAGGCTCATGCGAGGTTTCGGCTGGTACTCCCTTTTGGGCTGAGACGATGCATCTTTTATTCTACCAAAGAAAGTTAAATATGTAAAAACTATTTTTGTCAGCAGACCACACACACCACAAGTAGTGGAAGAAGGAAGTTTTCTTCCATTTACTGCCAAGGCCAAAGTTCATGCACACAAATAGGCTGGACTAAAAGTTTGGTATTTGGCTGTGCAAAGCTCTGGATCATGATTGGGATTCAGAGATGATACAGATGATTCGGAGGCTGAATCTATGAATCCAAATCAAATTTCTGGAAGCTTTAGGCTTTCTGAATTCATTCGGAGCTTCCAAATAGATTTGGAAAAGATTTGGAAAAGATTCAGTGATTCAGAGATTTGGCCATAGGGTATAATGGGGAATCAATGAAATATCTACAACTTTGTTGTCTTTTGGCTGATTCAGATGAATCTTGCAGGGTGGTAGCTTCTGCTGAAAGCATGACACGTGCCAAGTTTCAAGGAGATAGGTGCAGGGGTTTCTGGGAACTGCACCTCAAACTGCTGACAAGCAAAACTCATGACATAGGTGACACTGTGTGTGTGTTACGGCACAGGGGCATGAAAACTGCAGGAATAGTAGCCCCTGATGAGGCCACAAAGCCTGCCAATTATCAAGGAGATAGGTTTGGGAGACACTGTACCTCAAGCTGCAGACAAGCAAAACTCATGACATGGGTGACACTGTGAGTTAAGGCACATCAGGGTGAAAACTGCAGGCCTGCTAGCCCCTGCTGAGGCCATGAAGTCTTCTGGCTTTCAAGGAGATAGGTGCAGGGGCTTGTGGGTTCTGGGGCCCTGCACCTCTAGCTGCTGACAGGCAAAACTCATGACATGGGTGCTAGTGCAACTGCCTGTCTCTGTCTCTGTTATTCCTTGCTCATTAACTACTGTGTATTGAGCTGGTCCCTGAGTGAATCATGATTGACTGGTAACACAGTAGCTAGCGAGGATAACGAGTAATGAGCAAAGATTAACACCTACAAAACCACAGACTAAGGAGAGGAAAGAATCAATACAGAGCCGGGAACTGCTTCTGCCCCGATGTGACCAATCTCACTCACCAAAAAGTGGCCGTGCTGCTTGCAGAAGTCCTGCAGCTACTTCTGGAAGTGGTGTGGCCACTTTTGTTGGAGGCCCTACCCCCCAGCCGGCACTTGCAGAGGGGGCACTGGCACTCCCACCTGCCCCCCTGCCTGTTACCTAAACAGGGAGCATGGCCTGGCAGGGAGTGCACCAGCACTGTCAAGGGGGCACATGCATCCCCGTGCACCCCCTATGCATTGCCACTGATTCTTCCCAGTGGCATTAAAATGATGTTTAGGAGCCAGAAGTATTCTGGCATGACAACTGCACAACCTGGAGAGCATTTCAATATGGAGAGCAGCTCCATCCTGAAAGTGATCTACATGTGTTATTATGGGTTTCTGTATCTCAGTAATTCAAGCTCAGGTTTGTTTTATATACAAGTAAAAAAGCAAAATAATTCTTTACTCAGTTTACTCAGTGGACACACTGCAAAGTAATCAGGGGTCTGAAAGTTCCTGAGTTCTTTGTATACCACCCAGAGGAAAAAGACCATGTAGGTCAAATGATGCCCTCGGTGACTGTACAACCCTACTCCTGTGAAGGCTATGCAAAGCCACCTGTAATAGTCATAATCACTACCAAATGTAACTGTAATGCTGTAAACAAGGCACCAACTGCAGAATCTTTATAGCTAGTGAGGATGTATAGTTATATACTGAATTCTCCTGTTTCTGATCAGAAGGGGTGGACTAACATCAGGTGTCTGAAAAGCTGCAAGCCATTTAACAGACATGCCAAGAGAGCAATGCAGAATTTTCTTTGCATTGGAAGCTGACTATGGGTCCAAAAGAGAGAGAAATCTGTTTTGGGGTGGAGGCGGGTTCACTCTGGCCTTTGCTTGTAAGATCTGGGCTGTGATCCAAGCAGTTTGCTCCTGATGTTCATACTTCTCTACAGTGGGTGAATCATAGGGTTCATTCAGAATGAGCTGACAGTTGTTCTGGGCTGGCTACTTATATTGTGCTGCAGACTGTAGCGAAAACCAGCTTGCCAAGGAGCCTAGCTGCCATAACAAGTTCTGCACATTATGCCCAAGCAGCTGATGGGCTGAGACAAGAGTAGGAGTTGGGACTGACTGAGGATTGAAAAAATTATAAAACTGAAAGCTGTAATGGTACAGGAAACATGATAGCTCATCTGCCTGCAGCTCCATTTTATAGTAATTATACAGAAGATGGGGAAGCACTGTAAAATACTGTCAACTGCCATTATGTCCCCTTCTTTTCATGCCTAGGATCTCAGGGGGAATCAATTCAGGACTAAATAAAATAAAGGAGTCAAATGAATTCCTTCCATTGTTTTCTGATTTCCTTTTAGAACTGTTCCTTCTTTCCAAAACAGACATATGTTTTGGGGGTGGATAGGTAATTTTTTAACAGTATTGTCCTCTTTTCACATGGATTCAAGCTGTTTCATCTAGTCAGAAAGAACTGTGTGAAGTGACAACAGGTGTCAAGCATTAAAAAGACACTGTATAAGAACTGACTTAGTATACCCAGCTACAGGGAAGAAGGGGGAAGAGAGAGCTTACTGACAACAACATATGATAATAGAGCTGAGAACAATTTTTACAACTGGAACATGAGGAGGTATATCAATCCCTCATTGCTGTTATGAAAGGTGCATGAGAAGTTATTACCCTTCAATAAGGATAATAGAAGGCCAATGTAAAATTGGTACATACAGCAAGGCCCTTACTCAAGAAAATATGCTTTTAAGACCACCCATCAAGCAAAGCACTGAAGTGCTAACTTCAATTGGACTTTAACATGTGCTTAATTGAAAAAAATGTGCCTACGTTCCTTATTGAACAGGGTGCTTTTCTAAATCAAGCATACTCAAAGTGCATACTTTTATTTACTAGTATCTCCAATTAATAGGAACCTAGACTTGCAACTATCTGTATGTTATTCTGGTGTTATGATGATACACTGAATGAGATCTTTTACATATGCAGTACTTGTTTCTGCACTTGAACAAATAAAAGGCCATCCTGGAGTGTGATGAAAATTGAACATTACCTTTCTTCCAGCTTGACAGTAACCTGTTGTAGGATCTGTGATGCCTGCTTATGGTACTCCAGCTGGGCTTGTACAAGAGCAGAAAGCTGGCTCACTTGTTCAATCTGAGGAGAAACATGCAAAATCAACTCTTAGTTCAATATCCCTGAGCAGAGCTATTCAAAGAGCATCTGTGGAATACTATTATCCTAGCACTGCAGAGGCAGTTCTATCTGCAATCTTGGCTCCTCTTTCTAATTAAAAAATAATTAGAGATCAGTTAAGCTTGCCTTTTTTAGATATTACTGCACCTGGATAAGAAAGGCCTCAGTGGGCCTGCTCACCTGAACAAGGGGGCTTCAAGACCCACAAGATCATTCTGAGAACTCGGGGCAAATCTGAATGAGTAAAGGGCATGCAAAACTTGTCTCTTCTTGCATGCAAGCCAAAAGAGTTGACCTTGCAGGTGAGTGGTAAGCAGTCACTCAAAGCAGACTATGAACTCTCAGGGGTCACTGTCACTTCATTAGGGAGAATTCTCCCAATATTCCCTCTGGGAAAATGATTTCCACTGAACTTCAAAATAGGATGCATTAAAATTGTACAATCTAGGTGAGAACAAACTAACTGAATGGAGGGGGATAGATGTTAAAATTGGTGCAAGTAATATAAATTCTCTTCTGCAGGTACACTGCACTTCAGCACAGCTATATTTAGTCTCTAACTATGAAGGTTCTTGGTTATGCTGTTGCTCCTTTCCATCACTCTTTCAGCATAAAATAACCTTAAAGTTGGTGTGAATTTAAATCTAAATTTAAATGCACACTTATTCAGAGGCATCATGACATGGCCTGGGGCAACGGCAATATGCAGAGTCAGGTGACTTCCACCTGCTTCCTTGCCATCAATGTGATTACCTGGCTTAAGCAGCAACAATTTTTTTCTTTCCCTCCCTCCACCCCCCAAGTTCGTGCTTGTGGTGGCTGCCCTGGCCACTCCACCCTAGTTATACTACTGTACTTATTTATCCATTCACTCAGTTATCCATTAGAACTGAAGCACCGAATCTGCAGAGCCAGTTGAATGGACATTTCATACAATAGTTGAATGGGGGAGATTTTCACCCTTCAAATGAAGGAATACTTAATTCTTTGATTTTAAAGTTTTCAGTCCCATCTATGAAGGGGAAAAAAAACCCCCAACAACCAGTGGCTTGGGTTTCAATTAATGCAGCTCACTTTTCCAGCAAGATGCTGTACCTTATGCTATTCTGTGTATACAGCTTACATTGAAAACCCAGAGTTGAACAGGCACATTTCAGTTGAGGGAAAATCATGACCTGGGGACATGTATTTATATCATTCTGATCACAGAGATACTCTTTCTTTGGCCAGAAGTAACCTTAAATGGTCAACAAGAATGGACTGTTGTTATAGGAATTAATTTCTCTATTTTAGACACTTATATGGCTCCCACTAGCATAGCACCTCACCAAGCCTTACAAGGCTGTTATCCCCATTTTAAAGATAGATATCAGAGGAAAAGAGATCTGTTTAATGTTTCACAAGAAGGCTGTGGCAGGACGAAGGTCTGAACACCTGTCTCCCCCTCCAAGAACAAATTCCATAACTCCTGCACCAACTTTCTTCACATTTTCAACTTAGCTCAAAGCACAAATAAGGGATTTCCTCACATCCATCTCCAGAAGGTTAAACATGCTTGACTCAGCAATTTCTTTGGATTCATCAAACTTGTCCAGGGCTTGGCGAAGTTCGTCATCTGGGAGCTTCCCTTGTCTTTTCTTCTTGTAATCGAAGTCCAGACGTCGGCCTTCCATTTTCTTGAGGTGGTGCTGAAACATTAAAGAGGTAAAAACAGGCATGTGATGAACACCACTTCCCAGCTCTCTCTTCTCTGCTATATGATCATTGCAGTTAGTCAGTCATGGAGACTCAAACTACATGCTGCCAGTTTACCATTGGCACTTTCATATGAGTAAAAGAGCAAAGAACAGGGGGTTAGTTTGACATTTATGCTGAGCAGCCACAGAATTCTGTTGTCTAAACATGAAGAAACTCCATTATTTACAGAAGCAGAACATAGTGGAAAACACCTACCTATATGAAACATGAAAACTATTCAGTTTTATTTCCCATCTGAAATTATCTGCATATTATTCCCCAGGACTTTATGTACACATTTGTTCTTGTGTTTTAATTTTCTTTTCTGATGCCGCTGAGAAGATTATTTTTGTGGTTTTCATAAAACCAGCAATGCATCTTAATTTCTGAGTGGTTTATCAACTGACAAAATATCCTTTCTATTTAGCAACTTCCACATAATGTTCATTGGAGCGTTACAAATGCTGCTGCTGCTGCCACAGAGACTGAGAAAATGAAGCCCTAAAGCAGATGTATTTTAGGTTTTCACTATTAAAATGTAAGAAAATTTGTGATCTATCATGATTCATTGTGAGGTAAGAGATAAAATTTTAAATTACCCTGATGGCTTTTAATGCTCTAATTCTATACTTACACACATACTTAACGTTACAGTCTTATTGAAGTCATGGGTGTAACATTACTTCTACGCATAAGTGCTGGCAGAAATGCAACTCACATTTACATCTACTAATTTGTATGTGGAATCATTTGTGTCAACAAAAAAAATAAGCATATGCCTATACAGTATTTGTACATATAAATTACAAAACTGGCCGCATGGGTAACTTTTTAATATGCACAAGCAAATAATATTCGTTTCCAAATTCCTGGGATTTTGTTCAGATCATCGTGCATCTAAAAATGCAGGTACAAATTTAGAAGCAACTATTCAAAGTCTGCATTTAAAAACAAGCCATCCCACTACACCAGGAAGAGTCAAGCAGACTGACTAGTGTTTTACTGTTCAAAAAGACTAAAAGCAGACCTATGAATTAAAATAGCCTTCTAGAGGCCCACAGCTATAGTCCTAAAATATAGAAGGTTTTTATCTAACTGTTCTAAAAGCATAAATCTTCATTGATAACAATACCTGTATTTCTCTCAAATCTTTGTCATGGAGATTCTGTAGGGGGTCAATGAAATTTTGCTTTACTTCAATGTCCAAAGAATCTTTAACCTCAGAAAGCTCTCTCATAGCTTCTCCAACATCAGCCAAGGCTGGGCCTGGAACAGAGGAAAGCCTAATATACCTGTGACTCTACATTAAAATGGAATGAGTTTCAATCACAGAAAATGAAGTTAGGAATAAAATATAATCTTTGGCTGTGAATATGTATCAGGATTTCTTTAATCTTTCACAATCAACTTCTAAAATACAATTAATTTTGCCTAATAAGAAAGAATGGTATATTGAAAATGCACATTTTAAGGACAGTATAACAGTAACTACTTCCCCAGATTGTTACAGTTACTCTGCTGTTACATTGCAAAGGTTTTGTGGAGGAATTTCTTATCTCCTGCTAGCTTTTATAGCATGGGTGGAGGGAAAATGGAAACAGCCTTGTGCAAAAGGCTTTGACGACCAACATTTTCTTTTTCTACATGTATCACTTATGAACACATCCTGTGTTCTTAGTTGCATTGATTGTCAACCAGTAAAAACAAACAACCCCCCTTCTCCCACCCCCCTAACCTACCCCCGACCAACCCCCCCCTCAAAAAAACAACCAACACCTGCTCTTAATTCCTATCCTAGACTGTTGTAGGATCCACATGATATTGATTGGCAAAGGCCAGCTGTGAACTGACTAAATTTGAACTTTGCATTCATTATGCACAGTTCTCTTAAGCTCCTCATTAACTGGAGCATTACTGCATTCACATCTTTAAAAAAAGAAGGAAAACAAGATACCAAAATTGCATTCATCTCCAAGTTCCCGTCCAAACTTCAGCATAGCATCTGCCAGCAGGGCTTCAGCCTGAGGGTAGCCTGGTCCTTTTTCCTGGCCTCGAATTTTTGACATTGTGTTGATCATGCTGAGTTTAGCTCTAGAAGCTGCAAGCAGATCAATAATAGAGGTTACTCAAGGGACAGTAGAGTATAGATATAGACTTTGCACCCTGCATTGTAAGATGTCAAATGTAGGGGACCTCACGTGGTGTCCAAAAAGATAAAACCTGAATGTAGACACTGCTATTTAATATGCATCATAAAACTGAAGGCTAATTCTTAATATTCAGCAGGTTTTGAAGGGAGGTAGTCATATCCTGGCACCACTGATGTCAACTGGAGTTTCACTGTTGAAATCAACAGAACCTTCATTTTAGCTGAAATTGTCAAAGTGAAGGTTGTCTCTTGTCCCACCACAAAGTCAAGGACAAAACATCCTCAGGCTTCAGTAAAACAGAATATGATGCAGGAGCATCACATATATGTTATTTCAACCCATTACTGCTCAGGTGAAGGAAACAAGATGGAAGCTTTAAGCCATTTTCATTCTTCCAGTCTTCAGATCACTGGACACCAAAGCAGTCTGAAGGGTCAACTCAGAGAGGTCTCTCAAAAGACTTATTCAGCAGTTTCTCATGCCAAGACCATGGGTAGGAGAAGAGAGGTAATGGAAACATTGTTGACCCTACTGCATTGAGGAACCTTTGAACTAAAGAACAGACCCACAAGAGAGACAGTTAGAGCAAAATCCATTCCTCCATATTTTCTAGTCATATGTTTGATTCTTTTTTATATATTATAAAATAAATATATACCTAGATGCTTGGTCATAAGCTTTTGCCCCATTTATATTTGTACTAGGATTTTAGAAAGTGTCTTAGATTGATAAAAAAGAGATATTATAACAGCTTATCTTTTCTCTCAGATATATCATTGTCAAAAATGGTAGCTAGTATTAGAGCTGCTGAGAGCAGACAGCAGAAACAGAAATGACCCAGTAAGCTGTCAGCTAGGGTCTTGTGCCCGGAGTTGTCTCCTCCCCTCAGTTCTCATCTGGGGTGAATGCTTGTGGAAAGGGTGGCTGTGGATTGGCCCCTTTTTACATCTTCCTCTTCCTTAATGCGGAAGTCCTTTCTCTGACTGCTTCAGCAGCTGCTCCAACCAGCTGAAGTCCTTGCCTGCACCATCTGCAAAGTCATCCCACTGTGCATCAGTAGTGCAACACGTACGCAAGATTGTGCAGGACTTGAAGACCACAACAATATATTAGCATAAAACAGTGGTCAGCAAGGTTCTGGGGCTGCAGGCAAGATTAACCTGGCTTGAGTCCCAGCTAGAGAAATGCTTCAGACCCAGCCCCCTGCCGCTACTTCTCCCAGTTGCCTGGCCAGTTCCTCAGGCTGGATCCAATGTCTCTGTAGACCATATGTTGCTCACCCTAGAAAGGATCCAAAACTGTGTTTTGCTTGTAACTTTATTTACTCTTGGTTGGATTCTATGAAAGAATATTTGATAGCTGCTGCTGCTAGATAGATTTCACTTTGTGACATATATGTTCCCAACCAAGAATTCATCTAGTTACTTTGCCTATGATGAATCTTATTGTGATACCCATATCTACAGTTTTGCTGACAGTACAGAAACAAAGTACAAAATTGACAAAAGAGAAACCCAAGGTTCTGACTGCAAGGTTGCTACTGAGCCACCGAGACAGGGAAACATGTGGTTTCACAACATTGTCAAAGCAATGAAACACCTGTACTGGCAAACCACCAAGAAACAACTCAGCGACGTTGAGGCCTCTTAGAGTCAAGCTGTACTCTGGGAGTTTTTCTTTCCTCCATATCAACCTCTTGAGAGGGCCAGAAATCAGCTTCTTGAGAAGGTCAGAGGTGAAAAAGGTATCTCACCACAATGCGGTACAAAATAAAGTTGAGAGCTCACCACACTAACCACAAAATGTTCTAGCGTTGGGCCAATCACAGTAAAGGGTAATCCAAATTTGGTCCTAAATTCTGCTTAGATGTGAATAAATTTGAGCCAAAATTTGAGCAAGGTGTGCAGATCTTAGGGTTCTCATAGAAGCGTACTGCTGGGGGAACAGATAATTTAGAAACTTTGTGGGTAGTGCACGACCAATGGCTTAGCTGATCTGCTCCAGGCATCAGCTTTAAAGGTGTCTTCAGAAATTGCGCATAAGAAGTAACAAGGCTTGAGCATGCTGTATTGGATTTTGTGAGTATACTCTGTTTATTCCTTTTCTCTTAAATAAACTAAAGCTTGCTTCAAAGATCTGCATGTCTATCTTGAAATAAGTTATACCACTCAACCCATTACGGGTACGACACTTATGAAGGGCTAGCATATTTTTAGCATACCTAAATGTGCTCCTGTATGATTTTTCATAATACCAACGGTAATGCTAGGCCATGTTACTTTGAATTTGTTGGTGCTTTATTGTCTCAGCCTAGCACAGAACTACATGAAGCTGACGGACTGACCATATGATCAAAATATTCAATTTTAATGAGGTTTTTTGTTTTTTTTAAGTGGAGTTAGCAGCACTTACAACCTCTTTGCTGCAAGGGGACCCATTCCTCTGTTGTTTCTAGGCAGGAGGCTGTCTTCTTCTTTGCTCTTTTAGGCCATTATCTAAAGGCCCCTGAAGTCAATGGAAAGATTCCCATTACCATCAAATGTCTTTGGATTAGTTCATTAGTGGCATTCTACTATAAGAAGAAAATTCAGCTACCCTCATGTTACCCACAGATTAATGATCTGGTTGAGATTCATAGATTCATAGATATTAGGGTCGGAAGGGACCTCAATAGATCACCGAGTCCGACCCCCTGCATAGACAGGAAAATGTGCTGGGTTCAGATGACCCCAGTCAGACGCCCATTTAACCTCCTCTTGAAGACTCCCAGGGTAGGGGAGAGCACCACCTCCCTTGGAAGCCCATTCCAGATTTTGGCCACTTGAACTGTGAAGAAGTTCTTTCTACTGTCTAGTCTAAATCTGCTCTCTGCTAACTTATGGCCATTATTTCTTGCAACTCCCAGGGGTGCCTTGGTGAGTAGAGCCTCATCAATTCCCTTCTGCATCCCCATGATGAATTTATAGGCAACCACAAGGTCACCTCTCAACCTTCTCTTGCGGAGGCTGAAGAGGTCCAGGTGCCCTAGTCTCTCCTC